ACTCTCCATTTCATATTTGAGATAGCCTCTTAATAGTTATTTTCACAAACAGCAAGAGAAAGCAGCTCATTTTGTGAAGTTCCTACATGCTTCTGGAGAATGATGCCAAGGCCACCCCTCTCTGGGTCTGTCTGGTTTGTATGGTCACCAAGCAAGCTGCAGGCTGGGCCTCTGCACTGTATGTTACCTGCAGGATCTGGAGCTGAAAGAGGGGCTCAGGCGGCACAGGGGGTCCCACCCCCCTGGAAGGACAGGCACCTAAGGATGAAGTTTGTAACAGCACCCGGCCAATCGGGAACGCGAGGACTCTGTGGATACTTTGGCAAAAACTTGTTTCATCAGCACTGTTCCGCACAGCCACCTCTTCCCGCTGCGTTATCTGACTCAGGGCCACACTCTGGTCTATAGCACTTCAACCAGATCATGCCTGCACAGGTCCTGCACAGAGCAGGAAGTAGGCAGAGTAAACAAAAGATGCGCTGTTTCTATGATCGGACAAGGAGGGCATCTTCACTCACTTCCTGCCCCAGCTGCAGAGGCCACCACAGCTTCATTCATGACTGTCCACTGCTGTCTACCGCTGGAGCGTCCCCGAGCCCCTGCATGTGAAGAGCAGTGCCCAAGCTGGACAACCTGACTGTGAGGCATGGAAGAGATCCCAGCAGCAACGGCTGCAGAGGGGGTCCAGGGACTCCAAAACCAAAAGCCTTCAGGTCTCCTCCACTGCCCCAGGACCAAGATGCCCACCCAAGGGGACATCAAGTCTCCAGAGCCAGCATTTACGCTGGCACGGGACCATGATCTGTACCCGCTGACGTCACCTCTAGAAGCAGACAGGCCAGCGCGTGTCCTCAGGTAGTTTCTGAGTCTCAGAAGGAAGCAGTGAGGCTGCTGCCAAACGGAGAAAAACCCGGCTGTCTCTGTGTGGAGGCTCCCTGCCCCCTAGGACGAGAAGGCTTCAAGGCGCCAGCTGCCCACACTGCCACACAGACACCACCACACCACTCTGCTGAAAGCAAGGTGCTTGCTTCTCCGTCAGCTCCGGGAGAGAGTGCCAGCATCTCTCACCTCTTCCCTCCAGGCACCCAGGCATCCCCGTGCTCCCCAGCCTGTCTGTAGCTTTGCCCCCCTCCCAAGCCCTGTGTATGTGTGCCACGCTGAGCAGTGGACACGGTTAGCATACTACATTGGTGTGGTCGACTCGGTGACCAGTGCCGCCAAGGGCCCCCGCACACCCCGATGCCTGGGCTTTGTCTCGGAGGGCTTTGCAGGCCTGCTCGGTGAGACACTGAGCTTCACGATTAACACTGAGAGCTGCTAATGCATAACAACCCATGGGACAAACCGGGACCCTCGAGCCCAAGAAGGCAAGGAAACACCTTACAGGGGAGAGAAGAAAGCACCTCCTCTTTTACAAGTGTTTTGTTGCCATTAAATGAAAGACTATTAACTCTATAGTGGAAAACACCACCCTGGAACAGGATCAAGAAGGTGACAGAGGGACGCCATGTGCCTCTGGGGCTGAAGCACTGGGGTCACATACAGCCATGTTCTTGCACAAAACCCATGGTTGCACCATCAGGCAGACCAACTGTGGTGAGTCTAGTTTCTCAGACCCTTTGTGTAAAGGGCTCTGTCACAAGGGCACAGGCTGAGAATCAGTTCCGAAGGGACAAGGCACCCAAATTCAAGGAAGGACTGCAACTTACACCAGAAAATATCTTTGCAATTGTTTTTTCTTTTTTGGCAGGGTGCAGATAAAAAGGACATTTGGGAACAACTGATAAAGTTTAAGTCTACAGGTCAGATGATGGCATGGGAACACAATTCACTTCCAGACGGTGACAGTTACACTGTGATCACGTCAGAGCACACCCTTCTCCCCAGGACGAAGAGCCAGGAACGGGTACCATGAGGAAACAGTGTGTAACACACAGATCAAAGCGGGCATCACTGGAGCAAATGTGACAGCATGGTCACACTGGGGACTGGAAGGTGGCAGAGTTCTGTGCCTTTCTTTTAACACCAATGTAAATGTGAAGTTATTGCAGGATAAAACAGCAAAAAATTTAAACAACGTGGAACAGTGAGGCTTCTGCAGCTGACAGGGGACACCAAGGGTGAAGGGGACCAGTGGGATGGGGGCAGTGCTCCCCGGTGCCCCTCGCCTCGTCCAGGGTTTGGCCTCACAGCTCCGTCCCACAGGCCACTACTATTATGTCCTCTATTTCTCTAACTGGAAAACCAGGAAAGCACCCTGTCAGGCTTCGTCAGGCTGAAGATGATGAAACACTGAGGCTTTACAGAAGGTTCTGAAACAGTGTTAGGCAAAACAGACAAAAGGAAATATTTAAAGAGGCTGAAACTACCGTGAAGCAGCGCGTGGGCACCTAGCAGAGACGGCAGGGCAGGTGATTTGAATGCACGCCACTGCAGACTGCACTCCTTGGCCTCCTCCCCGTGTGCAGCAAGGGGCCACCACTGGGGTTCCAGACGAGGGGCTGCTTTAACCTAACAGCAACAGAGATAGCCACGGTGCCTTTGAGGGTCACCGCGGCACTGTCCAGAGCTCCAGGGTCCCGCGCTTGGAGCTGGCTGTTTAGATCCAATCTGGAGAAGGTACCTGCCTCCAGTCCTTCCCCTCAGTGCCCCACCTGCTGGGAAAGCTGAAGCCCTTTCTCAGTGACAGCACTTTAGCTCTGAATTATTGTGAAGATATGAAACAAAAACGTACAATTCCAAAATCCTGCAAAAGTCCAACAGACTGAACATAAATTTGTTTTAACAAAAGCATGGGGAACGGTAAGGCTCATCTCATGTGAAAACACAGGCACCATCATCTTTGACGCCCACTTACACAAGACACTGCCAAACACTGGGAGAAAAGGGAGGCCACACACACACACACACACACACACGCCACAGACTCACCCTCAATGCCAAGCTCAAACCATGTACCACCATGGCGACAGCCTCGGTCAGGGGGCAGCCACAGATGGGAGGCCCCACCTTTAGCCCACGTCTCATCCCTGCTGCAGGCCGTGGGGAAGCCTTGCAGAGCTGTGAGCTCCTGCTTTGTGTTTTAAAGAGGAACTTTTATAAAACACCCTGAAACACTCAGTTCTGCAGCCAGTGGCAGTGACACAGCAAGTGCTCCCAGCACCATGAGGACACAGACCGCTGCCCTCTCTATGTCAGTTCCGGCCCCAAGGAAACCTGAGAAGTCCCTCTGAGTCAGAGATGCTGGGCCCAGTATGATGGGCAGTGTGTTGCCTTGGCTTGGAAATGACCTGTCCTGCTGGATTCTAGACACAGCCCCAGGACCAGGGCTCTCCTGCAGGCACCCACGTGTCCCCTGCTTCAGCAGGGCAGCCAACCTCCTGAACACACTGCGGCCCCGTTTCGGATGAGAACCAGGCTGCTCACGTGCAGTCCCACCAAGCTCCCAAGAACTGTGGAGAACCTATAATAACTTCAGGGGCAAATTAAGGCATCAACCTACTTTCCAAAAAAATTTTTTTCCACCATTTCAGATGTGGGCTGCCAAGTCCTGTTCCATGAGTTCACACACCGCAGGGAGGGTGTCAGGTATATGCTGGCTGAGGACAGTGTCGGGAGAATTCCCTCAGCCCATTCATCAGGGTGACACTGCCTGTTTGATGATAGAACTGTGACCGTAGCACACTTCCCCCATCAGAGACATGGGCATGCACACCCATAGGAAGACAGGAAATGGAGCTGATGGACAAGACCAGACTCCTGGTGAGTGTCTGTGGGAGGCTCGGGCGGTGTTATACACCAGGACATAAACAGGAATGACTCAAAGCGACTGGCAGCAAATAGCTGCTCACTTAGCAGCGGCTGGCCAGGCCTGGGCGAGCACTTACCACAGGACACAAACTTCAGGGTGTTCTAGCACGACTTTCTTCAAGCCAAGGAAAGCAAAGAGATTTGACCACCTGTATGAGGTACTTGTATGAGACGGAATTTTTACCAAATAAATAAATCCAGGACAGAGTGACAGAGAGAGAATGGTATGAACAACTGCAATGTCACCCATAAGCGAGACACAGCATCCTTCCTTTCAGGTCAACATGGGGATCTCCACAGGCGGTGGGAGGAGCGTGCTCAGCCATTCGGATTCCTCAACTATCCCTGTGGCCCTCAGAGGACCTGTGCTCCTCAGGGTCCCAGAGATAAAGCCTGCCACTCAAGTCATCCCTGCAGTGGAAAGGGTCCCTATGGTCACACAGGATACTCCACCAGGCAAACGAAAACAAAAGCAAAAAACAAAACAAAACAAAAAACAATTTAAAAAAAAAAATACATTGTACCTACAGAAGATGTATTTTTTTTTTTTTTGTAAGAATCGAGAATACATCTCCACGTTTACATGGCAGCCGACCACCTTTATCTAAAAGTTGTACACCCCGAGCTGCATGCTGTTGATTAGGAGACTCCCGAACCACGAACCACTCCCGCCAATAGACGCGCAAGGACCCCCGCAGGGGTGAGAAGGGGACAGCTCCCTCCTTAGACTCAGGGCGGCTGCAGGTGGCAGGAGTTTTAGATTAGGGCTAACACTGCTCCCTGGAGCTCAGTGACAATTCACATTTGAAATTTCTGCCACTCTGATCCAAACTGCCTACAGGGTGTGCAGAAGTACTTCACAGGGATTGAAAACCACGGTTTTAATGTTTACACTGGAGGGTTTCAAAGCCTATCAATAATGTATATTTTTAGCACTGATGTTTTAAGGTCTCTGCTTATGAAATACTTCTGCAGCCTCATATTCTATGTTTTTAAGTCATTTAAGCCATCACTTAAATTCAGCCACAAAACAAACGGGAACAGTCAAGGCCACGCAACGGAAGGTCATGAGGAGGCAATACATTCATTTCCAGGATCAGTATGCAGCGCTCACTCTTCATTTTTCTTTCTTTTATAGTACGGGAGGGGTGGGAAGCACGAGAGGAGAAGGGTAGCAAACACACCCTTACCCGCCTTGGGTACGAGGCATTAAACTCATCTCCGATGCGACGCAATTCCTGTGCGATCCATATCTCTGGGCGCAAATGCGGAGGTCCAGCCTGAGACTGCCTCATGGAAGCTGTGTGGGAAAAAACAGACGAGAAGTCACACTGTGGTCTGCACAGCATGAACCATGTTCCACTGTATGGTCCGAGATGCTGCCTCCCCGCCCCCACGCTCTCGTTTCTGGAAGCTTCTAGACCCCAACAACTCCAGTCATGCCTTACACATACAGAGCCACGGTCTGCTGTATAATTCTGCCCAAAGTATAGGGACACAGATTCATTTCCTTTTACACAACTGGAGGTTCAGAATTGCGAGAATTAAAGACTATTCTGTCCCATTTCTACACACTTGCCTTTCACTTGCACTTCTTACACACTCAGCAGAATAGTACAATGCACAGCACCCAAGAAACATGGGGTGCAGCTCAGCGGTACAGCCCTTGCCCAGCATGCACAAGGACCTGGGTTCTTTTCCTTCCTTAGCAAAGGAAGGAAGGAAGGAAGGAAGGAAGGAAGGAAGGAGGGAGGGAGGGAGGGAGGGAGGGAGGACAGAGACTTGAAATATACTACAACATAAAAATTGAGTTGTCAGGGGGCTGGGGATTTAGCTCAGCAGCATAAGCGCCTGCCTTGCAAGCAGGCAGTCGTGAGTTCAATCCCTGGTACCGATAAAAAGGAAAAAGACCAAACAAACAAACAAACAAAAAAAACCAAATTGAGTTGTCAGTAAATTAACCATTTTAACCTTCTAACAGGTAAGTTCCTAGGAAAATGTCAACCACTACCTAGGAATATGAAGATCAAACAGTCATCCCTTCCAAAGGAAAATGGGGAAGCTGAGAAACTCGAGTTGGTTTCTATGGAAGTAGGCTGGGTGACACCAACAGCCTGAGCACTACCCAGGGCCACAGAAAGCGTAACTGCACATTTTGCTTCAATATTAATGCAGCCAGTAAAGATAGGTTCAAGTCTGCAAACACCATGGGGAGAGGAGGTGTGCTGGGCCAGAAAGCAAAGGCTTTTTGGAAAGGAGAGAAAAGAGGGCGGCTGGTCCTCTTATTAAGCTGTCACCAGCATCCACACCCATAACCATTATTCTGTTGGCTAATGAAACCATTACAAGGCTCGTGCCAGCTGAACACAGAGAACAAACCCATCGGATAGCAGGAAAACGGTATTCACACCCCACAGCATCACCCTGCGAGGAGGAGAGAACCGTTTTGTGCCGTGTGCAGGAAGAGAGATAAGACTCTGGGATTTCAACTGCTACTCGTGTTCCACTCACGTTCACTTTCTGTGAAAGCACGTACGAGGCATTCGCAGTTAAACACACATTCCGTGTATTAACCGCCCCCAAGTGTGTGTAAACCTATGCTGCGCAGATTTCGCGGGAACCCTGAACATAGCTTCCCCTTTCATATTTCTGCAAAAAGTCCAGAAAACTGATACCAAATCATAGTTCTCTAAAAGCATGTTCAAATGAACACTAAGCATTTTTTTTGTTTTGTTTTGTTTTGTTTTTTGCCAATTTCTCTCAAAATGCTAGTCCCATTTTCTCTGCTTCTTGGTTTCAACTCAGATACACTTAGGAATGAGCCCAAGTAGCTGTGGGGCTTTAGAGAGGCAGGTACCCCAGCCAGGCGTGCAGAGGTGTGGGAACACACATCTCCCCAGAGTCCCTGCACTCTCTCAATCAGCCAGGGTGAGCTGCTAAAGGCAGCCTAGGGGGAGGCTGGGGGTGGGGGCGGGCCTTTGGGGTAAGTCAGGTGTGGCCCTTGAACCACGTCCAAGCATAAAAAATTACTTGGGTCATATCCTTGTCACACAAATATTTCTAAGGCCAACCTGTAAAGCCTATTAAAATTGCATTGTGAACCACTGGCAAAAAACAAGACTTCAAAAATGAAAACAAATCTTCTGTAGATAAAGAGGGGAAGAGGGTGGAAGGGAGGGTAGGGGAATGGGAAAAAAGAATCGAGTTATGTTCTACACAGGGACAAATTCCCTATGATGAATATGATCCTTATGCATATTTAAAATGTACCAATAAAAATCGTTTTCTTTGGAAAAATAAAACATTTCGGGGGAGATACAAGGCCAGGTGGTAGTGATGTCATATACCGATATTTCCTGAGCTTTCAGTCCTTCAAGGATTGACTATCTCAGGTACCCAGGCATTACTGGTCTTTTATTAGCAACCAACTGGTCTTTTATTAGTACCCTCCCCCACCCCCAGTTTAGAAGCTTCACAAAGCTAAAGGAAAGGGTGGCATCTTCTGCTGGTGCATATGACACTGGGATCCCACGCAATCCTCCGCTAGGCTGTACCCGAGAGAAATCTGCCTTCAACCCTGAGTTCGAAATAAAGAAGAATCCATTATCCAAAGCAGATTCCTGAAAGTAAGGTGCCCGTGTTTCAAGCCAGTAGAGCAGAAAAAAAACATTGGACCAAGTTATCCAATGTTGCATAAATGGAGAAAATTTACAGATTTCCTTCACAAACGCAAATACTGGGGCTACAAGAATTCTAGGAGGTGTTTTGGATCTGAACTCTGCTCCCAGAGTATATACACTCTGCTGGATTAAAAGTTGTATTTCAATCAACTGCCAGGTTTCTTCTGGACAGGGGTACTTGGGCATATGTGTCGTACACCTCACAATGGAAACCAAAACCAAAAACTGCTCCCCGGGTTAATTCCCCCTGACCTGCTGATCTTCTCTGCGAAGGGTTTGTCTGGTTCACGTGGGGCTGGAAACTCACAGCACCATCCCAGGAGCCAGTACAGGGCAGAAGCTGGCTTATCAGAACTCATAGACCTAGAGAACACGGCAAGCCAGACCCAGCTCAGAGGGAACTCAGGGTCCCTGGGTGGCTAAACTCCACCTGTTCATCTTTGAGATAAATGCCTTGCTGGTTTCTGGGGAAGGAGATAAGCAGATGGTCTCTTTCTTCTTTGGGAAGAGAAGTTGAGTAGCTAACTGCTGGTTAACTCAAATACACAGATGCAAACAGACCTACCAGGAGGTCTCTTTTGGCTAGCTTCAACCAGTGGGAGTGTCCCAGGAGCCCAGGAGGCTGCAATCTTTATTAAAGCCCTTTAAGTGGTTCTGGTACAGATAATCCACAGACCAGACCCTGAGAAAAATGCAGGAAGGGTGAGAAACAAGGGAGATGCCCCGGGGCCCTGATCTTTTTCAGAAGAGCATGTAAGAGCAGTGTTAGAGGAACCACAGGACTGTGCCGGGCAGGCTCAGCATACATTATAATTTGCTGGCAGCCGCTACAGATTAGTAAACAAGCTATCAACGGTACTTAGGTGTCATTTAAGAAACTGATTACAAAACAGTGTTGTACAATGTAGTTACATTTTGCAGAGCAGGCTGGGAGGTCTGGGCTATTTTAATACACCTATCACAATCTGCTTCTCATCTATGGGTGCAGATTAATTTTACAAAGTATCAGGTTTCATTGTAGCATTTTCATGCAAGCAGAGAGAGTCTATTTTGATCATTACCACCCATCACCCTCCCTGATCTATTTGTTTTTATTAAACAATGGTTTTGTTTCTTTGGTGCTGGGGCTGGGTGCAAGCTAGGCAAGTGTTCTATCATTGAGCAGTTTGGTTTCTGAAAAGCAATTATGTTTCTTTTTCCAAAGTACTGGGGATTGAACCCCAGGCCTTGGCTCTGAGCTACATCTCCAGGGTTTTAAAAATCTTTTTACTTTGTGACAATGTTTCAGTAAGTAAGCTTCCCAGGCTGGCTTCAACTTTACAGCCCTGCACCACCAGGCCTAGCTGCAGTGGCTAGTGTTTTTTCTTGCAGAAAGACACAGACATTCGGTGATAAAGATAAGGCAGCCAAAATTCGATTTGGAACATTTTAAAAGGCTCTGAGGCCCAGCATATGTGGGTGACGGTGTCCCACCTGTTGGCTGACCTCTGAGGACAGGAGGGTGCATCTCACTGCAGGGCCTGCATCTTCTGATGCAGGGTTTCCCTGAGTAGTGTAGGCTGGCCTCGAACTTATGGTGATCCTGCCTCTGTCTCCAGAGTGCTGGGATTACAGGTGTGTACCACCACACCCAGTTTGGGGCAGTAATTTTAATCTGTCAATATAGTGCATTGTTCAGTATAAATTTCACAGCTTATTTCTCAGGTGACCAAGTACAGCATCTTAAAAAAGGGGATGGAGAAACCGCTCCTAAACTCGTCACTAGAGTAACATTAGTGATTCACATTTGGTTTTATGCTGCAGGAGGAAAGACCAGGACAGAAGGGGGCCCCAGCTGACCAGCTTTGGCCTGGCAGCTCCATGGTGGTGCCAGCTCGAGCAGGATTAAGGTATTTATTTATACCCTGCAGCACCAGTTGGCTTAGTTCTGTGCCAGTCACCCAGGGCACAGATTACAAAGGCAAGAAGACCCACACGAATGGTCTTCCAAGTGACCCCTGGAATTGGAGACCCAGAGTGCTTGGCAGGTGACCTTCCTCCAAACCACTCCTATGATTCCACCCCTGCCCAAGTGTCCCCACTGTAAGTCAGTGAAGAACAGACAACTCTAGGAATATCCCCTGGGTACAAGAACAAGAAACATCAACCACAAACACTTTATTTTGCTTTATGTAATGTGTCTGACAACTGCAGACATCACTACCTGGTCAATATTGGCCTTCACTTGAAACAAAAGCTCTTAATGGTAAGTAGGAAGGTCATGCTTTCAACTTAGAAGGCAATTTTAAGCACACATAAAAGACTTCTTCAAAAGAGAAATTCTGCAGGGGTGCATTTTTTACCTTGAGAACATGAAGTTTCAGTATTTAAGAAAGCACTTCATGCCACAAACCTGAAACTTAAACTTTTAAGAAAACAACGGATTAGAAGGTGCTCTTACAGTGAAGCTAATTCCAAAGTTGAAAACTGTGGCTAAAGCCACCAACCCTGCAGCTGATCAGACTGAGCCAGAGGGGACTTCCAAGGTCTAGCTTTCTCTTTACTTGGAACAGAAGCCGCCAGCGAAAACTTTCACAACACAAAGTGGCAAACACAGGCAGTTCTGTCAAGTGTCCTGTGT